GTCACTAACCAGTAGGTGGCAGTAGTGTTCTTTGACAAACATGGATGCCTCCAGTAAAGCACATTCACATGAAAATTACTCTGAATCAAAAACACTTATTTATTAAAAAGTAAGTAATAATTTCATATTTAAAGAACTTTCAGAAGTTTGAATCCTGAATATCACTTTTCCTTTAAAACGCCCTCAGATGCAGTTGGTTGTAAATGCCTGGAAATGCTAATTAAATTAAGTGAAAAAAAAAGTCAATAAACTCTTTTAAAGTGGAGATGTATCAAATATAAATGTTTGAGCCATTAAAACTTTGCATGATAAAAATGAACAGGTGTTAAGTTATTGGAATGTTTTCTATTTCATTTCTTTTGGTGAAGAATGGAATGTAAAATGGTGATTAAACATAAAAAAATCTGCTGCATCTCATCTCCTTGATTAGACCAGAAGGTAATTTCCAAACAGTGGAACAAAGCAGGACTTTTGTGGACTTAAAGCAAGCCTTAACATCTTATCTGCAGCAGAACCTTTTAATATAAAGGATAAAAAAAAGATTCCAGGGGGGGAAAAATAGTAAAAGTCACCTTTGACGTCACAACAGGTACTTACTTTTTGTGTGTTTTTTTTTCAAATTTATGCTTAAGTTTTGATCTTATTTAGATAATTTCATTTAATTTCCACTATATTTTGTTGCAAACGGATGAGTTGATTATTTAAACCTCCATTCATTGTGTTAAATGTGAGGACAGAGGCAGAATGGAGCTGACAGCGCTTTAAAATGAAGCTTTGGCGCCCTCTGGTGTTGGATTATGTTTTAGCATAATTTTTATTTATACTTTTATTTATGTGCTTTAGCCACTGATCTCTACTTATTACGGAAGAGGATTAGGGTCACTGAAAAATAATACTGATTTTAACATTTTATTTCAGTTTAATATGAGAAAAAAGACTTTTTTTTCCTCAGAATTCTAACTTTAATCTCTGAATTCTGGCAGCTAACAAACATGTTTGCATCAAGCTGTAGCCATGTCTGTTTTGGAGACTAGCTCTATTGTTTTAATCACCTTCTGCTCTTCCATTATAGAAATAACATCAGCAGGGAACCCTCAGGCACGTAAAAAGTCTCCTAATTCCATCATTTTTCAACAATGTGTTCCTGTTTCTCACACCTTTGCTCCACATTATTGCCTTTATGGTGCCCATCTACGTTAAGATCCACAATTCTCAGATTAAAGCCAGAATTCTGAGTTTTTTTTCCTTATTAAACTTAAATCAAATTTAAAAATCAGTTAACTTTTTTTATTTTTTAAGCGGCTCTAATCCTCTTCCGTAATTTATTCACTGATTTGCTGGTTGCCCGAAAAAAATGAAGCCACTGTCCGCCATGCTGGTACTCACCCACACAGACACGCAGTAAATGTGCCAACATGTAGCATTAGCGTTTGCCAGCTGTAGGAAGATGTTTTGCAGGTAATTTCACTGTCAACTAAGAGCAAAAAGCTAAATAGCCAACAGAATAATAAAGTTTATGAGATATTCTTTCCCAGACATGCTGTTATTGGAAATGCCAAAGAAGCCATGTTTAACATTCAAAGGAATAAGAAATATAACATTTCTGTCATGATTTAATTAAAGATCTGACCCAAATGCAGAAGACCAAACAGAGAGACCAGGGAAAAGTTTAACAGGTTTATTTAGTATAATGAGATGAGTCCAGTGCTGCTCTGAACACGGTCAAACCGGAACTGGAAAGAAGATTCTGCGGTTAGTTCAGGCTCAGTGGGAAATTAGATTCTTTGACTTGAAGAGGAGGAATAGGTTGGAGACTCACGTTTCCAGAAAAGGTGTCTTTATTTGAATCCAGTCTGTGTGGGATGTTCCTGTGAGTGTCTTGTTTGATGGAGGGCGGACAGGGTTTACCCAGACTGTGATTGTTCCTTGGTGAACAGAAAAGCTGACTGCCACTCAGATTTCCTGCGGTACTTGAACGGGTTATTTTGGAGATGAATCCCCTGCTCAGAGAGAAGCCCCAGACAATCCTTGGGGTAAAAGGTTGATCCAAACCGCAAACTTGAATCCTCAGCTCAGTTTGGTTCTCAGAAGATCCTTCCAGGGGAGAGAAGGTCCGAAACATCCAGTTTGCAGGAGTACTTCCTGACGAGCAAAAAGCTAAATATGAACTTGATGTTTCCTGTTATGTTACCAGTATGTGTGAGTGGAAACTGAAGCTCTGTGGAGTTATTAAATCGGTTCATGAATTTAGCTCTGTTGTAAATCTGTCAGAATT